ACACCCCCAGCCAGCAACTAAGCACCTCACAGCTGGTCACTCACTCCCCACCCCCAGCGGGATGGGGGAGAGAATCAAAAGGGTAAAAGTGAGAAAACACGTGGGCTGAGATAAACACAGTTTAACAGGTAAAGCAAAAGCCGTGCACGTAAGCAAAGCAAAACAAGGAATTCATTCACTCCTTCCCATCGGCAGGCAGGTGGTTCAGCCATCTCCAGGAAAGCAGGGCTCTATCACGCATAACGGTTACTTGAGAAGACAAACACCATCACTCCGAACATCCCCCCCTTTCTTCTTCTTCCCCCCTGCTTTATATGCTGAGCATGACGTCATATAGCATGGGATATCCCTTTGGTCAGTTGGGGTCAGCTGTCCCAGCTGTGTCCCCTCCCAGCTTCTTGTGCACCCCCAGCCTGCTCACTGGTGGGGTGGTGTGAGAAGCAGAAAAGGCCTTCACTCTGTGTAAGCGCTGCTCAGCAATAACAAAAACATCCCTGTGTTACCAAACTATTTCCAGCACACATCCAAAACATAGCCCCATACTAGCTACTATGAAGAAAATTAATTCTACCCCAGCCAAAACCAGCACAGAGGCACAGCAGATCTGCAGGTAACTCCAAATAAAACTTGCCATACAACAAAATCACGCAGTACAGGGTTCAAACTCTAACATTTGGCTTTTTGTAATATGTTTGATTATTAAGAAAACACAAACCTACCATCTGCAGTTTTTTCTTCTCCTTAGTAGCATTACTGTGTGCAGCCTCAATTGCAGTATGGTGTTTCCATGCCAATTCTTCTAAGGTCTTAGAATGAGCCTCCTTTAACTGTGCAGCCTCTCCTTCCAATCTTGCTTGCAATTTTACCAGCTCCTTCTCATAATATTCACGTTGTGTCTCCCTTGCTTCATTTACTTTCTATAAAAGACAGAGAAAAATACAATCATTTCTATTAAATGGCAAAAAAAATCTGAAGAGTAAGAGGAAAAAATGCAAAAACCGATTTACTGATTAAATAGATCTACAGAAATTAACTTCCTTATAAAACAAATTTAGCAAACACTAAGCACTGACTAAATAATTCAATAACCAAAAAGGTAGTTTCAATATATCCATGCAAAGCAATATATCTATATTAAAATCTTTTTTTTTTCTCTATTTAATTTGGGGAAACGGCAATCAGGTATCAAGCCTACAGAAAACTTCAGTTCAGTATTTTCAAAAAGGTTCAGCACATTTTCAGAGAATGGCTTTTTTAATTGTTCTTTAACCAGTTCACATTTCTCCTTACTGAGACACTTTAGATACTAGGCATCTACACACGAGGTCATAAATTAAATGAAATCGTTAAAAGATGTCCAAAGCAGTCTGAACATCATCTAATCTGACTTCTGTCTACTCTCACTTTACACTCTACATTAGTCATTCTATGTGGCTACATGAGATACACTTGGAACATACTACTACTGGTCCTAGTCCAGTCATATCAAACAAAAATTAAAACACAATAATTTTTTCTTCTTAGAATTCTAGGTCTTTTGTTTTTACTCATCTAAAGCCAATAAGCTGTTTAACCTTCTCCAAGGCCAGAATTTGCTGCCTTTGTCGCTCATCCAGACTCTGTGTTTTGCTTTGTAGTAAGTTTCTTTCCTCTTCCAGCTGCGATAGTTTTTCTTTTAATCTAGACTTTTCCGATTCCAAATCCCTGATTGTAACTTCTTGAGTCATTTGAGTAGCTTGAAGCATTCCAATGTGACCTAAAACCAAAACAGCTCTTTAAAACCTCACAGAATTGGTTTCATGTAATTGAAGTACACATTCATACTTCAGTGATTTCTAGAAGTACAACTCTAGTGGAAGCTTTCATAGGGATCTCCATTATCTTCACTGCAATGCCTACCTTCCCCTCCACTTCTCCCTTTTTTAGTTTTATTGTAAAGTGTCCAACAACAGTAGACTGCTTGGAGCTGGGGCTCCTTTAGTTTCAATTTTCCTGGCTCAAAGTTGTATATCGAATCCAAGAGAAAGCAGAGGTAGGCAATAATTTGAACACGGACAGTCTATCTTGAAGAACTTACCCACCTAAACCCACACATTTTTACCCCATGATAAGCTACACAACAGAAAGCAGAATCTTGAAGTCTAATGGTAAAGACATTATTTTACCAAACTCATAATTTAACCAGCATGCTAGGTATATCAGCTAATGCTATGTAAAGCTTATGGAATTACACTTCGTTTATTTTGCTGTAGGGCTATGACTAAAAGATGTAACAGAACTCATTCTCTCCAGTACTCTGGAGAGATGTACAATCTAAATTCTTGCAGGTTAGAGGCTTGCTTTTGATTTCTTTATATATACTGGGAGGAGGGGGGGAATCTACAAATATAGACAGTATAATCATCTGTCTCTCACATCACCAATGGAAAAAGGTTTATGACTTCAGAAATTTTTGTCCTTGTTCTTAATTTATATCTGTATTACGGAAAATACTACTACTAGGTAACTGACTAAAGCAGTGAAACTTCTGTTATTCTGGGAAAAGCTTGGGAGGGGATAGAAGGCTATTTTGGAAGAGAGGATGCTCCTACATTTGTTCAATCTAAAGACAAGAGATGGGATATTCTCCCATTATTTTAACATCTTTGTAGAAGCATCATGAAGTCATACCTAAGCTGACATTTCATGTCAGAATGGATTATTTTGATAGAAACACCCTGTTATGTCTAGGTCATGCAATTTATGAAAGGGATGTTTGAAATACGCCTTTTAAAAATTAGCATAAGATAAAATTAAGTGGTAACTAAACAGACTTTCAAGGATTATTCAAAGATCTTTAACAGTTTCACAGAAAGAAAGCATCCAGATAAGAAAATACATTATTTACTCAGAATAAATTTTTTGTTATTTTTGTTGTCACAACTTCTAGGAGAGACCTCCCCCCCTGCCCATTTTATTATAACCTTCAAAAATGAGAGATTAGTTGAGATCTAATAACAGAGTATTGCTTTTAAATTTAAGTTACTAAGAAACAGCTAAGTGGACTGCATATCACTGTTTCTCACAAGACAAAACCACTGAACCTCCTGATTCATTGCCATCTGCAGTTAAACCAAGACATGCGCCAAAAAGGAAACCGTTTTAGCCTTTGTTGTCTGCGGACACTGATGTGAAGGGAATGACAGTGGGATATATAATGGAATTTGGCCACGAAAAATGCTTCAAAATTAGTAGTATTTTTATAAACAATGCACACCTCTAATGACACTAAGCCCTGAAGAATTCTAGGAATCATTTTGGCATTTTTGTTTGATAAAACTAAAAACTGAAGAGAAAAAACATAGCAAGTACACTTCATTTCTGTAACATTTCAAAAAACTACCTTGTTTCAAAAGTTCAGCCATTTAAGAAATATATTTGCAAAGCCTGATTTTAGAATGTAACAAGGAGAATAATTGTAGAAGAATTTCAGGTTTGTCAGGAAGTATTCTGTACGTGCATATTCCATTGTAAATGCACACACACACTGATCTAGAGCTTTTGTCCTAGCAATACTGACAAACAATACAAGTTTCCCATTCCTCATGCTCTACACAGAAGGTATGAAACGCAGCAGTTTCCTTTCAAGTTAAGAATCTCAGGATAAATGGAAGAAGAATATATTAATTTCCCATAACAGACTTAATACAGCATTTTCAAGTTGCAATACAATGAGTAAATATTTTGAACGGCAATTAAGTATGAGAATTTAGTTTCTTTGGGGCAGGATTTTTGACTTCCAAGTGTGAGCTGAAAATCAAAGGAGATGGCAGTGGGCCAGCATCAGAAACCATTTCCAAACTGGCTGGTAATCAGTTATATCACACGGTAATGGCTTGGTGGCATGACTGTAAACAGGGATCTTGGTTCTTGTTGCACAGCAAGGTGCTGTAAAGCAAAGATGTACTATTGACAGTGCCACTGAGCTCAGCAACAGCATGGACACGCTGCAATTTCTGGTAAAGCTAAAAAGCTCAGTGCCAGAGGAGACCAGTGCTGCATTCACAGTCTAGATGACTCATTGCCATCAGTAATAAGGAAAAATAGCCTGGATATTTAAGTTTGTTTCCAGTATATCTGGGGCTGGCTGCTGGACCTCTCCCCT